CAAATACTTAACCTTAAGCCATCAGACTTCATAGGGTCCAGAGTCAATGTTGAGGACTCCAAGCAATCCCTTATTAACTGTATATCACTGTGTCGCCACCCATGCTGGATCTGTCCTGGTAATGGGACAGGACGTAACCAGGGATGGTGATCGTATTGTCTGTGAGGCACGGTTCTGAGAGAACGCCTATGTCTGGTGGTTGTTCGATAGTTTGAGAGATAGCTCTCCCAATTCTGGCACTAGCCCCCATATGTTAGTAAGGAGGACTTTGCAAGGTTGACTTTGCATTGTGTTTTCTGGTGCCTGGGTCAATGCCAGGTGGTCCCTCAGTTTAATTTCTTTGTTGAGACTTTGTTGTGATTGATACAACTGAGTGGCTCGCTATGCTATTCCAGACGGCAGTTGAGAGTCAATCACATCGCTGTATGTCTGAACTTGCATGCCGTCCAGACCAGATGAGGATGGCAGATTCGTTGCCTGCAGGATATCAGTGAGCAAGATGGATTTTTCTGACAATTGACAATGACTTCATAGTCACCAGTAGATTCTTCATTCCAGATTGTTCTTTTACTGAATTCAAATTCTACCATCTGCCATGTTGGGATTGGAACCTGGACCCTTAGAACATTAAATGAGTTTCTGGATTAATAGTCTTGGCCATCATGTCGGCCACTTAAACTGTGGAACCTCATTTCTACCATTTCTGAATTTTTGTTGGATATTTTAAGCATATTACATTTTTAGGTTAACTTTGTTTCTTTATTCTTCCTTTGTTTCTACTTTACATTCAAGCTCTTTATTTTTCTGATCTCTTGCCTATCAATGTGACCATCCCATAACTGTGTAAGTTTCTTAATGTACGTTCAAACCAGCATTAAAAAATAGTGTATTCTGAAAAATACCCCTCGCTAGCAAGATCTGGATCATAAATCTGACCAAGTACATTGAATTCTCTCCTTTTTAACTAAATGCTGCAAGAAGTGTTCTCAAATGTCTGGAATTCATCTTGGGCATTCCCTACAAATGTTCCCACTGCACTGGGACTAACTATATTTACAGAACTTCAGTCACTTGGTGTAGAAACACAATTTAAAACCACAAAGATGAGGGAAGCTAGCTACTTCCACTGTTTAAGTTACATCACTGAGTACACCATCCGTTTTACATGATTAATAGTTACTAACTGGCACAAGGGCGATTCACTCAGCCTTATTAAAAAGGCATTGTCTTCTGCCTATCAGTTCCTCAGGCGAAACAGAATTGAGCTCCATAGTAATAACTTTTCTTCATGCAGAAAGCCATTTTGGGGTTAGGAGCAAATTAACATTTTCTTTACAAAAAATAGTGTCAAGAGTAACCATCCTTTTCAAAGGACTTGCAGCTGGTGTACAACTTTACAAAGAGCAAATAAAAAGGCATTGAATAAATGAAGGAAATTAGTACTGTATCAACTTTGAAACTACTTAATACTCATCACCATTTCTCAACGGCAATTCAACTCATTACTGCAGCTTAAAAATAAACAAAAGCAAAAGTATCCTTAAGTATTACTTTAGCAAGAAAAGACAATAATTCATACTACTTTCATCACATTTTATTATCTTAAAAGTTAACCTTCTGGCAAAAATCAGTACTGAGCAAGTCAATTAAAATTGAGACTGATAAGCAATTTTATCAGTTCGCCCCAATACTACACCATCTGGCACTAGTTATCTGAAAGATGGATTGCACAGAAAACAGAACAAAAACACCCATGATGACACCATACTGCCATTGTTTTCTCATGAAAGGTAAACATAGCAAGTAGTTAAGATCCTTTACACTTGAAACAACTTTTCTCACTTACTGTTTGCAAAGCAACACCCTATTTAGTTAGTATTTCTAAAGTTTATTGTTGCTATTTTGTCTTGAATCATTTAAGATCCAATTTCCCACCGTTTCATTATCCCACTAATACTTTAAAAATAAACATTTTTTCCCCATTTTAAGATATTACAGTGAGCAACTGTAACGTGTAGATGTGTGAACTTAATGTACCAACACAATTCTCCACAACAATATGACTAATCAGGGACAACAAAAGGATATAGAGAACATAGAACATAGAACAGTACAGAACAGTACAGGCCCTTCGGCCCACGATGTTGTGCCGAACTTTTACCCTAATCCTAAATTCTATCTAACCTCCACCCCTACCTTATACTATCATCCATATGCCTATCTAATAGCTGCTTAAATGCCCCAATGAGGCCGACTCCACTACCCTCTCCGGCAATGCATTCCACGCCCCGACCACTCTCCGAGTAAAGAACCTACCTCTGACGTCTCCCCTATATCTACCTCCACTCACTGTAAAACTATGCCCCCTTGTAATAGCTACCTCCACCCTAGGAAAGTCTCTGGCTGTCCACCCTATCTATTCCTCTGATCATTTTGTACACCTCTATCAAGTCACCTCTCATCCTTCGTCGTTCTAAAGAGAAAAGCCCTAGCTCTCTCAACCTTTCCTCGTAAGACCTTCCCTTCATTCCAGGCAATATCCTGGTAAATCTCCTCTGCACCATTTCCAACACTTCCACATCTTTCCTGTAATGAGGCGACCAGAACTGGACACAATACTCCAGATGTGGCCGAACCAGGCTTTCGTATAGCTGGAACATAACTTCACGGCTTTAATTAGCAACACCATCACACTGAATCCCCCATTTTGAGCATCCTGGTGGGTTTACCACTGACCAAAAATTGAATTGAACTTGCCATATAAATAAATGTGGCCACAAAAGCAGGTCAGAAGCTTGGAATTGCTCAGTGAGTAACTCATCTGACTCGTCAGTGTACCCACCATCTACAAGGCATAAATCTACAAAGATGGTGATGGAGTATTTTGCCAGGAGAAGGCAACCTGTTGATTGGCACAGGAATCACAAACATTCACTCCTTCCACCACTGATGCACTGTAGCAGTAGTGTGCACCATCTACAAGATGCACTGCAGAAATTCACATAGATGCGTTAAGTCAGCACCTCTCAATCCCACGAAGATTACCATGTAGAAGAAGGGCAGAAGATACATGGAAACACTTCCACCTGCAAAGTTTCTCCTCAAGCCACACACCATCCTCACCTGGAGATATATTGCAGTTTCTTCACCTTGCTGGGTCAAAATCCTGTACCTCCCTCCCCAATAATACTATAGATGTATCTATACCCCAAAGACTGCAATTCAAGAAGGCAGCTGACCTCCACCTTCTGCAGGGAAATTAGGAACAAGGAACAAATGCTGGACAAGCCAGCGAAGCCCACATTTCCTGAATTAATTTAAAAAAAAGAAACATTTACCTAAACATAATAGGAAATGTTAGAATCCCTACAGTGTGGAAACAAGTCCTTCGGCCCAACAAGACCACACCGACCCACAGAGCATCCCACCCAGACCCACCCCCCTATAAACCCACCTAACCTACATATCCCTGAACACTATGGGCAATTTAGCATGGCCAATCTACCTAGCCTGCACATCTTTGGACTGTGGGAGGAAACCGGAGCACCCAGAGGAAACCCACGCAGACACGGGGAGAATGTGTAAACTCCACACAGAGTCAACCGAGGGTGGAATCGAACCCAGGTCCCTGGTGCTGTGAGGCAGCAGTGCTAATCACTGAGCCACCGTGCCACCTACTGGGATTTTGGGAGAGCTGATGCTGATAAAAATCAATAACGTACATGCTTTATATATCACCATTTTCAAAAATTTAATCTATTCTGACAACAGCGAAATTTGCTTGGGTGTTCCAGCACACCTGTACGGTCAGCAAGATACAGTTTTGGGGCTGCTATTCATACACCATGAAATTTCAACATTGTCTGATGATAGTAAACACAGGGCAATGACACTACCTTAACTGACAAGAATGGGAAAGTAGAGGGAAAAGTCACAGCGTGAGGCATCTTGAGCACCTCCAGTGACTTTTTATAGGGTGGTACTGACAATATTAGTCGGGAATCAGGCATGTCTCAAGGAGACTTCAGGGGTGGGTGGAAATTGGACTTTTTTAAAATATAAATGTCTTTGCAAGGAGTGGGAGCTAGCAAGAAGGAACAAAAAGAAAACACCAAGCTTGGATTCCTTTGAAACAACTGCAGTTTTGAAGATATTGTGGAAGTTGTCATGCAAGATACATAAATAAATCTAACTGGTTAGAACCAGAAGGATTTAGTTCTAGATCCCACAGACATCCTACAGAATTTCAGGACAGGATATTCTACAATGCGGTTTTCAAACGGACCATTTAATTAGGGGTATTAGATGAAGCATCATTACTATAAAATCTAGAAACAACATTTACCAAACAGCAACCTGAAATAAACTATTTACAGCATTTTAAAATGGGATCACAAGAATGCTTTTGCAGTCGAAGGCCTTGAGGAAAGCACTGCTGCATTACAGAACTTTCAAAACCTTTTATTCCCGTTCTAAGTATTCAAAGTATATAACTTGTCGACATCATAGAATAAAATACAAAGATCACAAATGCAGTTTCTGATCACAGTAAGCCTGTTCTGCTTCCAGACCATTTCAAGCATGCCTGGAGCATAAAGTAAACCATCCCACATGCATTACACCAGACAAGCCCACTTACACAACAAGCATGCACTTAGATCAAAAAAATGGCTATTCTATATTGCATCTTATTGAAGGGACCAAATTGTTTAAGAGTTCCATCTGAAATATTTATTCCTTTCTAATACACAAAAAAATTCTGTGCCTAAAACATTTTTTCAGTTCCTCCACATGCTCTCTTCACCATTATACACTAAGAACAGCCCTAGTGTTGCCAGTTCCTCCACTGCATAGATTACAACAGCTTCACACACCACAGCTTTTAGTTCTATCAAGACATTGCTAAGAATGGATTTTGAATGACATATGCACCAGCCTACTCAACAATACAACTATCAAATGTGCTAGCTGCTAGAGTATTGAACCCTGTACAGGCTTACCAGGGCAGAAAGCATCCAAGTCTGGCTTCTTGGCTGTGGCTCTGGTTGGGGAGCTGAGCTCCGATTCTGGGACTCGAGGGCTTTCCACAAACTTCGCCTTCCTCAGGGGGGCTGGGACAAGAGAGGAAGAGGGTCGTAAGTGAGGGGAACAGCAGGCAACAGATGGAAGCAGTTAACTAAACGGCCCACTGTGACGGAGACGGATTAAATTACATTATTTGTGGTGCTGCATGAAAGCAGCTGTACTAACCATCTATAACAGAAAGACGAGGTGTCTTGTTTTTCAACAAACACACTGTATTATGATTTTGCATATAATCAACTAATGAAGCCTTCTTCCCATTCACCTCAGCTGTCCTTGGTCAAAACTCTAACACACGTCATTTATATTTAATTAACCTTTATACTGCCAGTTAGGAAACATTGTAAATCAGACAGTGCTATACACAACATATGCGGTTCACAAACTAGAGGTTAGAGCAAAACTGAAAGAACTACACAATCGGCATTCAAACAATTTGTCATGGTTCAATTGTAATCAAAGAAAACCAGCAAAACTTAAAACTTTTGCATTCTGCCCAGAAACGATAAGGTTAATGTTCAGAGACATTACCGTAGGAAAGCATTTTTCAGTATTTTGCCAAGGGAACATGCATGGAGTTTGTTATTTTCATTTACTTATTTTTTCTTGAATCTATACTAATGTCTCACAAGTACTTGATTCTTCAAAAACAAATAGAGAAAGGCAAGCCTCATACCACATAATGTGGTACTTCAAATGTTATTCAATCTCCCTTTAATGTCACACCACTCATCAAACACAGACCACATGAATTCTGTCAATCTGTGAACATGTTAAATACAGGCTTTACATGTTGCCATTCTAAGATGGCTGACATGTACATGATGATTAAATCAGAAGCAACACTGAACAAAGCTACGTACATACTCTGCAGTTCATTTACATGGCATTCTTAAAATGGCTAATGTTGTTAGAACTTATATGTTTATTTACTTTTTCTCCTCTTTTGCTTTTACTTATTTGTATCCCTCTCTGTGACTACCATATCACAAATATTAATCTCATTTCTGTTCTCAGACATTTTACTAAGGGCATTCAGAAGTTGGCATCTAAGAGGTGCACAAGTGAAATCCAGTATGATCACTCATTAGAGACAGAAAAAAAGTAACTGCCAAGTCTTTTTTTATTTGCGATTTATTCACTGCACTCCCCAGCAGTGGTCATAGATGAAAATCAAACACCTCGGTGATGCTTGACAAAAGAAAATTGCCTGCCTGTATTCAGCTATGTTAATCCTAAGAATAGAAACTTCATAGGAATTCATCAAAGCCTGGGCAATTGTACAGCAATAGGCATAAAAAAAACACTATCTTGGAGAAAAGTAATAACAAGTATTTTTGTTCTACTAACAATTGCAGTTCTTGATGCATTCCAGAAAACAATAGAACTGTATTATAATAAGCTACCAGTTTGCATTTAATACATGGCATAACACTATTGTTCACACTGGCAGGCAGAAAGCCAAAATCAACAAATTGTGGCAACCAAGCTAGTATCTTTCAAACAGCTCCATTTCACAATGTTTCTGTACAGTATTTTATGTCTACAATAGTTTTTCCACACAAAGACCAGACCACACTAGTCACATTCTGCTGTAAAAACAGTAAGATTTTATAACTTTCACCAACAGTTATTACCAAAGGTGGAAGGAAGAAAAAGGAGCAAAGCTTACTATTGCAATGTTTTAGTTTGGTTGTAACAATCTCATGTGGTCTGTCCGTGCTGTACCAAAAAGACTGTTCAAAGTAGCTACTGACAGCTAATGTGCACACAAAGCACTGGATACTGCAAAACTTCTAGTTGAATTTCCTAGCTAAGTGGCCACAAATGGGAGTTTCAACTTCAATATACGTTTCTGTGATTCGTCCATTACCCTCACTGTACTGTGCCATTCACATATTCAAATTACAGTCAAAACAATCACCAAGAGTCACCCAGCATTTGTGTGCAACTTGTCTGACTCTCAGAATTTACAGCAGGCTCATCGCAACACCCCCATCACTATCAACATCAAGCAAAAAGAATTCCCAACATACTTAATTCTACCGACTGCAAATGCTAATTTAAAGTAGTGCTGAATTTAGAATGCTACAATAAGCAAACAGACTGAAAACCATAAAATTGAGCCATTATTCCTTTCTTCTTGGTACAAAGCATTATTGGAAGGACTGCTGCAAAGCAAAACTAGTGATGCAACTTGGGGATAAGATCCTGATTTGATTCACAACTAATCTAAGAAATAGTCATCTCCCTGAAAAGAAAGCCTTATAAAATTGAATCTACATTAATAGTGTATTCTCCAGCTTGCTGAAAAGCATGATTTTAAAAAGTGCCCAGGTGGTTTATTGGCCCCTAGGCACATCGTTCATTTACATTTCAATTTAATAATAAATATTAAACATTGCACACTTCAGCCTCCACTCCCCTAATGTTCAAAATACATTGTGCCATCAACAGTTGCCCTGAGGGTGACCCATAGTTCTGTGCTGTCAATTCCATAACTAGGATCTGCCAGATATTAACCACCCTCCACAGACAGTAGTCTGTGACCAGCAGTTAGGACACGACTGCACTCTCAATTCTGTTCTGTCACTAAAAGTCATGTAAGACAAACCAAACATTTCTTTCTATTACAAGTAGGGTAATTTATGTGTTTTGCCTTTACCTAGTCATTTAAAGCCCAAACAGGACTCAACTCACCAGGTGTCTGCTGAATCTCTTTGATTCAGTTTAGTATTAAGAGATACGGGTGATGACTACTGTTACGTGAAATCATTCCAAACAAACAAACATTGTCAATGGCACAAACCATGTCAGTAGGTTATTACACTAGTATAACCTTCAAGAATCCTTTTAGAATGTCCCTGAATATTAAGTATTTGAGTTTGCTGTGTTTTGTAGTGATCTGCTGGACCTACTGCACACTTGATCCATCAACAGCCTGCACAAGCCAAAACAATACTGGCATTTCACCAGAGCTCCATGACCTCACTGTTCTAAAATGCTGTTCTGTTTTACTGTAAAATACCGTTAGGGCTGCTATGTCACGGCACAGATAGTGTGATACATTCCAAAGAGTCTATCAAGCTTAAAAAAAACTAGGCTCTAATTCAACTTCACGACAGACACCAAAATGACTTGAATGCATAGAATAGAACTAACTCCTTCCTGAGAGTGTCCAATCTTCACTTATCAGATGAAAGTCCAGATATGCTATATAGCCACTGCCAATCAGTAAATCAAAATCAGTTACAAGGAAATAAATTGCACACAAGTCCAAACTAAAGTTTTTTGATATAAATACATTATATTCTACATATATTACCAAACGAAACAAATTTTAAATAACAGTTCATAAAGGCCATTATTAGATTCTAACGAGCCAAAGGCTTGTTTCCAAAACACTATTAGTTGAATTGTAATTAGCAGGAAAGCATCTAATTCAACAAGCTATTGTAATATTTTACCATAACCTGTAATCACTGCTATTTCAATTCAGCAGTCACTTGTCTATTATAATCATGTGTTGCAGTACTGAACAACTTCTAACAAGACCACATCAAATTTACTTTATAAAAGGTTTACTTTATTATTATGTGGCTGCTACAATCAAGAGCTTTGCCAAGCACATTTCACTCATGCTTGCAACATGCAAGTTTCCAAGTACAGGTTCCACTTATTCTAGGACTTGAGTTTTCCAAATTTGAGAGCAGTAAATGAATTAGTACACCACTAACTTATCCATAATTATCCCTTCACTGAGATATGTTGCTCCTGAACTAAAATCACACAGAATGCTCATCACACTATCAGATCTCGTAATTAAGGTTAAAATTTCAAATGCAATTCTTTGCATGATACGATTCACAAAAAAGCAAAAAAGGGTTGAGAAGAACAATGTTAACTTAGTACAGTTCTCTCTATGGCGCAAGTCTCTTCTCAGGATCTATAAACTATAGCCTTTACTGATCATGTGTTTGTTCATATATCCATCATGGCCCTCCAATTCTCTTCTGTTACGTGAAAATAAGGTTAAAATGAGCAACTGAGGCTCAGATATATCCCTCACTGTCTTTGATGTGAAGTCCAGATATTTCCCAGATGTCTTCAGTTCATTCTCTGAAGGCAAGAAATAATTCATTTCAGTCACCTGAATAGATAGAGATGTACAAATTCCAATTGATATCTGGAGAGGTGGTTACTAATCTGACACCCCCTGCAGATTATAACAAACCTGCATACACTGAGGTAAAACTATTGCTGTGCTACCCTGCTACACACAAGGAGTATATAATTCAGAATTGTGCATTCCTGGCTCACAATATTATTATCACTGTTGCATAACTAAGGAATAGTCTTTCATTATAGGTTCCCAGTGAATCACAGGAGTGCACAGCAGAACTATTATCCCACATCAGTTTCACAAAGTTGGTAGGAAAATCTTACATTGAAAAGTTTCATTTAAAGGCAATATCTAGAAAGATATCTCTTTCTGAGCTAACAGCTGTTCTTTCAGATAGTTTAAGCCTAGCTCAAAACAGGAAGTCTTTTAAAAGGAAAAAAGTGATCCCAACACAACCTAGTTAAGACTTAATATAACAAAACATTTTTTTTTAAAAGAACAAAACTAGCATCTATCCTACTCGCCACTCATTGTTCCATACATTGAAATATATCAAATGAATACAATCAGAACTGGAATTTTACAGCAGAGAAGGGGATTCTCAGCAGCTATGCTTTCAAGGAAGAAAACAGATTTACGTATTCCACATTAGTAGGCAGGAAAGACAATGCTATGTACTTACAACCTGAAAATGTATGCTACGACAAACTTAATTTGGTCCACAAAACCACAGACCAGGTACAATTTACCATCATGGATTCCGCATCTGATCTCAGTTTCCTTGACCTTCAAGGAAAAAACACATGACATTCCAGACTTGTTAACATCTGGGAAATGTTAGGAATGACATCTAAGTTTAGCAAGAATGATAAAGATTGCAAACTCATTTAAACATGTAAAGCTGTG